GTGAATGAAAACTCTTTGCGAAGCACTTATTTTAATTCTATATCGTACATTCGCTGTGATCACGTAAAATCCGCAGTTTAATTATAAACGACAATTACGAAAACACTTGCTCTGCACACACGAATAAGACTGTTAAAAATCGAGATTTCAAAGAATCTATTTAAGTTACTAATCTAACTCAGACCGCTTTTCGTTAACTTTCAAAACTCTGCATGCCATGATCATCTTTAACGGTATATGTACATACATACATACTTTGGAACTCTTAATAATTATTGTAAAATTGTTTTATTTAGTCGTGAAGCAATGACAAATAATTGCTTTCATCGAATTCCAACAACTGCATTTGTTGTAACGGCGAAATTGATATTAACGGAGGAGTATTTCGATGGTTCGACAAGCGGTGTGTAAATACAAGTCTGAACGACGCGTACGATCCGATAAAATGGCACTCGTACCCCCGGCACAGGATATTCGCGACGACTTATATATAGGCGGTTATATACACGTGTATATACGCGTATAAATAGTAAGTATGCATACCGAATTACGTTGCGTGCATCCTTCATCTTTTTATAAATATATATATATATATATATATATATATATATATATATATATATATATATATATATATATATATATATATATATATATATATATATATATATATATATATATATATATATATATATATATATATATATATATATATATATATATATATATATATATATATATATATATATATATATATATATATATATATATATATATATATATATATATATATATATATATATATATATATATATATATATATATATATATATATATATATATATATATATATATATATATATATATATATATATATATATATATATATATATATATATATATATATATATTTATATATATATATATAAAATATTAATTTTTTAAGAATCTTTGTTTCATTTTATGAAAATAAAAAATATTTGTTAATGTTTACTTTTGTAAAATGAAACAAAGATCCTTAAAAAATTAATGATTTTATTTAAAATGAATATTTTATACCACATATAAGTACGAAACTAACGCATAATGTTTGTAATAATGATGTTACGATTGATAAATAACAACCATTAATTACCTACACGAATTTAATCCACTAAATATAGCTAAATGCCATGCTGTTTTGGGCTGTCCATAAAGATACATAGTTCCTTCTGTATATGAGTACTGTTACAAAGATTACATATACAATATTAATTTGATCAAATTCTGTTGGTCTAAAATTTTCATAATCATCAGAAAAATTTTGATTATTATTCTAACTAATCCAAGTTTTACATGTAATAAATGATAGAGGGCACCTTCTACACTTCCGCCAGGAACGGCCCTGTATAGGAAGAGCCGGATGATCGGGGGACGGAAGCCTTTCCCGCGACATTTTGAAAGTATCGTAACTCTCGATGGGAGGTGGACAGAAACTTCCGTTGTCCGATCGGATCCGATCGATTTTACGATTTGCCCGATCGGGAGGAATGGGTTCGTTCTTTCACGATCGTTCTTCGCCGTGTTTGCACGATGCGTCGTGCCTTCTCCGACAATTTCTGAATGAAAGTTCTTGCCGCGTGGCATCCGGATGTTGCTTTATCGTCGCGTTCGTTGCGATCCACCGACGAATTCGATCGGATCAAGGGTCTTCGACGTCGAGATCATTATCATTGGTCCGCCATTTCGAACGAGTCGTCCATCTCGCGTTGATACCTTAATTTATGTCCTTTTGTGAAATTATACCGAATTTCTGGTACAATTACGACTCAAACGCAATGCGAATAATATGCGTGAATGGCGATTGGTAATTTACTTGAACGCCAGTGTATGAAAATAAACAGTTTTTCGTTAGTTATTCATTATTAATGAAAGAATGTTTTTTTTTTCTATTATTGTCTATGTAACTTCGGTTCAGGTGAGCGAGACGTGACCAGGAATCAATTAAATGGCCCTGAATCAACGTTTTCTATCGCCTAAGAAGGTTACAAAGATCTGCTACAGTACTTTGTACGCGAGTTTAAGAAAATTCGGTAATTAACCACGGAGTATTCTCGAAGATACGATCGATCGAATTCGTCGATCAAACCACTTTTATGTACCTGTTACGACTGATCATTGCGTACTGTCGCCGCGAGCAGCGGTTCTATACATATATAAATGTATGCGTGTGTGTGTGTGTGTGTGTGTGTGTGTGTGTGTGTGTATATATATATCTATATATCATGTTGTCATCGTTATTTTGTAATTATCGTTAAATGTCATTGACCGCTTGCTATCCACGGTTTCGCGATCCTCCGTAGTCTTGTGTCGGTAATCGTATGTACATATCGAATTAAAATGAGAAGGGAATTGGGGAAGGGTTGTCGTCGTATTGGCCGACGCATCGTAACCTCTTTCGTTTTCCACACGTGCTATGGAAGCACCTTCTACGATGTGACCAGAAAAACCATTTCGTCGTGATAAATTCAACTCCAAGAGACTCGAATTTACCTTCTCTGGTCCAACTACCGAATCTTAGGTAGTGCCCAAGAAATTGATCATTCTTGGGTAGAAATTCAACGAATAATAATTCGATTTCACTTAAGAATACATCTGTACACTAGAAAAGTTGATTATCCGAATCTTCGAATTGAAATTAACAGAAGTTCATCGGTACAAGAGACAACCGAGGGAGTTTATACGAAAGCCGAATGTTTAAATGTTTCTTTCGAAATGTTTTAACAAGCACTGATAATACATGGTATTATTCTGGTCACATTAGCTTTCCATGAACGAAGACGCCAATCGTCGTGGAAAGGAAAAATGCGTGACGAAAGAGGAGTGAACCGATCGCAAGAAACGTATCATGGCGGAACGCTGGCCGAGCGAGGAAAACGTGCGCGATTTCGCGATTTTAACCAATTTTTCCAGGGAAATCGTAGCCTTAGACTTCGTTTCTCTCGTCAGTTTTATGCGACGATCGCTCGACGGATTCATCCGGTCGTTGTGTTCAATGAATTCTTCGAAAGGATGTAAAAAGGTAGAGAAGGGGGAAAAGAAGAAACAGAAATCGGTACAGTGAGGGCGAGAATTTTTGGCTGCTCGAGATCACAGATTATTCACCCACCATTCCACGTTGCCTCCGCCCCTAGCTGAAAGCCACACGAGTCTACAGTAGCCAAAATCTCTTTGACTTTCACTGTGAGGGTTCTAGTGTCAGTGGCAGAAATGGGAAAAACTTAATTCGAGCAATTAAATGACGGATAGAAAGTAGTATACAGAGGTGTCCTTGTAACATTACATACCTCTTTGTTAATTCGAAGTTCGATATTACCTTTTTTCGCGGAGTGAAAAAGATCATCTTGTATGTCAGTATTCCATTATGGTAATTAATTATGTAATCAGACCAAAGGTTGCATCCATATTTGAATAATATCGCGAGCAATATGTTAACAGATGGATAGGAGAAGAACAGTTGTCTGTTATTTTTTTTCCCTTTGAAGAGTTGTGTTCAACCGGTTGTATACGTCGAGCAGTGCACAAAACACTGCATGAACCGTAATCGAACTTATATTTCACGGCGTTCGAAGAATGATGGCATTCAACGATAAACCTGTATATACACACGTTTATTATTATCTATTTACTATTACGGAAATCTTACTCTTAAGATCTTCGACTGTACGACTTTATTCGGGACGAGAATGATTCTGGCGAACGGAACGCGAAAAACAAATAAAACAAGAGAAACGCGAAACACACGAATGAAAGCGAACCGGCGTCGCGTGAATTGTTTAAACGCCATTGTGAAACTCTATCCCTTCTTACGAGATAAGCATAATTATATTTGTTTATATATACATATACATGACGAGCATACGTATAGAAACATTACGGTTATTATTATTATCATTATTATTAAATACGATCACCACTATTATTATTATTACGATTATCATCGGTGAAGAGACGGAGATGGCAGTACGATGGATAATTGCTAAAAAACAAAAAAATTAAATAAATGATCTTACTTATACATAATTATAAATGCGTCGTGATGACATATTCATAACGATTAATTATTACGATAACGTAACATTATTATTATTACTATTATAAATAACGCCCTATTCCCATTTGTTGTGAATGTTTACGTTGTTTTATGATATTCAAAATATTCTAAAAATAAAGTCTATAATTTCCACGAAACATCTTTGTTTCTCTCTGACCAGTCCTCCAACATAGAAACTTCTCCGGCAATTTCGGTTCGGTTCAATAATCTGCCGAAATATTACGAGTGCCACAGACTCCAAGATGTTTCTGATGATAAATAGGACTTCGAATTACTTACTTAAGGATTATTATTTATGTCAACTTTTTACGTGTTTCTTGTATGTCGTGACGGTACTCTCGGGCGTAACTCGCGCGAGATACTCTCAAGTGGACGACTGCCTTAAGGATCTTAGACTAAAGAGGAAGATATTTATCCTTTGAAACCTAAATATCGATGTCTGTCGAGTATTGATGATAGCATGATGAAGGTTGTGAAGTTAATAATTTAACATTAAAAAAATTAGAAGGTCTAAGCTTAGCTGAAAATCTTGAATCATTTTTCTTGAATGCACACCCTTCCGCTGAAAGAAGCCGAAAATTGAAAAGGGAGCTGCAAAATTCTCTATTTTCATACCATGAAATCTACAATGACCTTGCAAGAATCAGCAAACAAACAAAAATTACAGATTTTTCAAAGAGGATAGAGGGTACAGAAAATCTAAATGAAGAAGAAGGTTCAGAAAGTGAAGGTAATATCGTTCAACCGAAAAAACATTCCCGTTTGATTGTACTGAGTAGTGATGAGGAAGAAATTTATTAAATTAAGGTTACATTAAATGAAAATAATATTTTTTGTTTCTTTTATTCGTATTGTATATTATACATACATTTATATTCTTAATAAAAATTAAGTTGCTTATATGGAATTAAAAAGAAAGTTTGTTTTTAATAAGTTTTCGGAACGTAACCCCCCTTTTTGTACTGGCTCTAGGTCCCATATAACACGGTTTCACACAACACGGTATTTTTTAGGAACCTATCTACCGTGTTATAGGAGGGTTACCTGTACTTAGTATAAAATTTTATTTAGCGTTTTGTATTCTTTAAAATAAAATAAAAATTGTTTTAATTCGATGAATTTTCATAGAGTTATCGTCATCGAAATTATTACGGGTATTTCATTGTCACCCTGTATATCTTTTTAAACGTCCGTGTTACATTTTATGCACATTCATCCTGTTCCGTCGAGACCGCTCGATATTTCTTTGCAATGTGATTACACAATCGAGGATTTCGAGTTGCTATCTTTTGCGTCTACATTCAGCGAATGATTATCTTTCGTGATACTCCTTTCACGAAAATTCGTCGTGACTAACCGACGTCTCGGTCGTCTATTAACATCCACCTCTTTCAGGATTCGACCCAACGAGTTGTCGCTTCCGGTCATGATCGGAGACAGACTCAGGCTCGTGGCGGTTCGTGTCTTGATCACACGAGCGCTTCTAGGAGATCTGACTATTTGGTCGTTAGTTCTGCGCCTGGCAGACTTTAATTTAACGCTACGTAACATGTCCAATGAGACCAATGGGCCCTTCGGTCCCGGTATGGTATTCCATCTGTTTTCCTAAAATACAAGTTTCCTATTTACTTATCGTAGCTATAATACCTAATTATTTCAGGTATGACGTTTTGTAGGAGAAACTACGTAAATTATAAGTACTGCAATATCGAAATAAGACATCTCGAAGCTTTGTTCAAAGAATAGTAATTTATGTAAAATGTATATACTTTTATTTCATTTATTTTTAAGTACAATTTTGTAAATCATTCTACCTAACCTCTTTGTCTCTTTGATGGGACAAACTATAAAACTCATTCGTTTTTTTATCATTCTGGCAACTTGTTTGGATTGCACTTTCTCATACTCGAATTATTATCAGAGGATCAGTCGAAGCAATTTTTCTGATTTACCTTAATGTTTTGCGGTGCTTTTTTAAGGGTCACATTCAGCAAATCCTGAACCGTTATAGCTGGCCTGTTGTGCAAAGGTGTCGAGCACTTTCTGGTTGGCGTCCTGATGCTTCTGCCGCTGTTCGGGGTGATCGGTGTAATTGACTTTACCGGTGACTGGAACAACGGAACAGAAGGGGGCGGTGGAGGTGGTGGCGGTGGCGGAGGAGGACACGTCTTCAAAGAGGTGCTTAGAATCGATGACATCGGTCGAGGAAGCGGTGACAGAGATTTAGGTATACTTGTTTTTTTATCCTCTAACGCCTTCTGTAGTTTCTGTATTTCCTGCTTCAGTGTTTCATTCGTTTCAGCCACTATACTACGGACTTCTGTGGTCAAAGCAGTCAGAGTTGTCACGTTACTGGCGCGCATCTGCAATAAATGAACTTAGTATACTGCTTGAATTTATAAAAACTTTACCATTGGTACTAAATTGCGGGTGTTATTCTCCATGGCGTAAGTATATCGCTCTTCCCTACCTGAATAATCTCTTCGGACAAGCGGTTCACTTTCTCTAAGAATCTATCAGCCATTTGCTTGTTCTCAGAGCGTAATGTCATAACTAGTTGACCGAGTTCTTCAAACTTTTCCTGATTTGTCTTCCCAAAAGATGGCAACATTGTCTGCTTGAGCCGTTCATAATTCTAAAACAATTATTATTAAAAATTACCGTAGATTGTACAAGGCAGCGAAACGACGTACCTGTTTAAACGTATTCGTCAGCTTTTTCATCGACCAGATACAGAAGAAACTAATTTTATTTATAGGTTTCTTGGTAAAGTGGAATCGTGACGACGGACGGCTCTGTGCAGAGGTGGCGCAGGTACATTTTTTACTGAACACAAATTCCACTTCACGCTGAAAGTAAAATGATTTCATGTAGCATCGGTAAAACGGTGTCCATTAAAATTTACAGGTGAAATTTCAGTTCTAAGAAGTTACATCTTGCAGACTCCTGCTACAACCACCAGAATCCGAGACGGCAGGTAAATCCAGCGTAGAAGCGGTGGGGGATTCAGGTGTGCAACTGGTCCAAACTGTTTTGGTGGCGGTTAAATTGGACGAAAATGAATTTCGCGTGTTCTTCTTCTGTTCCGATAAGAGATCAGTGGCTGGGACAGACACGATTGCTTTATCAGAATGTTCTGTTTGTAAGTTATTTAAATCTAATTTTCTCCTTGGAAGTTTAGGTGCGATCTCCGGACTCAAATCACCACAGCAGGACAACTCCAGCTGCTGTGATTCAAAAAGCACCGACTCTGGAGAGCGTTGTTCTAAAAGTTGCTCCGACGATCTCACGTTTCTACTTAAAGGAGTATCATTTTTCCCAATGCTATCGATCGTGTCAGATAAGCCTGATTTCTGCAACAGCATCTCTTGCGATAGATACAAGCGCTGTTTGCGTCGAGATCTTTTATAGCCTTTACGTTTTGCCATGGCAGTATTTCTTGCAGGCATTCCAATCCAGACTATTCAACGTGCATAGACGTTGAGCACGTGAATTAATAACAGAATGTTATAATAGGTAATAAATATTTCTATAACTAGAATGGGTAATAAATATAACTAGAATTACACGTCACGTTTTAAACTACTGTTTCCAAGACATTAAGACAGTTAAACAGAACCGTTGTTTGTACTCGTCACATGCACGATTGACATTGTACTGAAGATTGCCCCGTCTACCTTTGAAATGATTGTTTGTTTTGATCCTGATAATCTCATTTAACTGTTGGTAATATAGAGCCGCTTACCATAAAATAATTTAATGGTCTCCTGGTTCTTGTCATTAAATATTATCTATGTAATAGTTTTCTATTATGTACGACGAAGATAAAATTATAAAAACTATTCTGGCATCACTGGGACGCGCTTCATTTATAATTGAGGACGAGCGAAAGTAAGTATTGTAATACTGTAAATTATAACCCTGTACAGTTTAAATATTATTAATTATATAATCATACATAAATTATTTTAATTTAGAGATGGAGACGGATATGGATCAGGAAGGACAACAAAATGAAAAAGAGAGGATACCAACAGAGCAATGTGTTAGAAGGGCGGAAAAGGGGGAGGAGGCACAGGAGCAGGCGTCAGTGAAAAGTATGAGTAAAAGTGTTGACTTTTATCCGAGAGGAAATTAGAGAGCTAACGCCCGGGGTTTCGGTATTCCCGGGCAAGTGCTGCCCCCCTGGTCAACCTTAGCATGGACAAGAACCCCTGGTCTACCAACTGGCGCCACTTAAAAGTTTCGAATTAGTTCCAATTTCTGCCACCAAAGTGGTGGAGGCGCCACTAAATGTCCCATAAATCTCTTTTTTCCCGCGCTTTTCAACCCCCGCAAAAGGCACTGCACGTTTGTGGCGCCCCCACTACTTTGGTGGCGAAAATTGGAACTAATTCCAGAACTTCTTTCAAAACTTAAAAGTTTTAGAATTAATTATTTCGTTATTATTTATTATTTCTTATTACTTTTTTGGTTAATTGATATTAGGAATAGGAGTGGAGATAGTGCCGGGATTAATGAATAACGCATATGTATGATTTGACTGTTTTTTATTGAAAAGATCGTACGAAAATATACAATTTACAATAGTATTTCTATAAATTTAACAACAATTGCCTTAAGTACTACTTACATACTTGATTTTACAATATATTTATAATAATATTTGTATAGATTCAATAAAAGTGCCCTAAGTTACTTATTTTACTTAAATCTTACTTATCTATATGATTTTACAATATACTTGTAATGATATTTATATAACTTCAGAAAAAGTAGGCCTAGATATTATTCAGGCTTATAAAATATTGTAACTTATATGCCGCAAATAATTCTCTCCCCTGTAACTTGCAAATCTTCCGTACCGTCTTCAAAGCTTCATAAAGGTTTCATAAGTTTGTCGCCGAAATTTTGATTACCAGTGGCATACGACAGACGTGTGTAATAATTTGCAGTAGTCCTCATTTGAAACGTGATCCTTTATTGCTGTTGCTCGTACAGCTCTCTAGCTCAATCGAATGTTGCTCGTGCAACTGTCGATTTGGGACTGACGCTTGTCCGTGTTCCCGTGAACAAATTAGATAATAACCCTAGCAATCATGGCAGTTTCTGCAGATACTACTACAGCCCAAGTTTAAAAGACGTAGACAGTAGTTAGTTTCTGTAGTAACCTGTTGAACCAGACAACTGTAATTAGTATAGGATTGTACAATATTTATGCAGTTATATTTAAGACAATTCGATGAAATGAAGCTTATATTATCTGACGTATGTTTATTGGAATATACATATATGCATATAAATTATAATGATATCAAAATTTGAAATACAATACGATGCGCTACGGTACAATACGTCTATTCGATTCAATTGCTCCCTTGCGACTACATAATGCTATCCGCGTTCGGCGCAGTGCGCTAATACGGAGGCCAACGAAATATCACTGTAACGCTTAAAAAAGTGTCAAAGTTCCATTTATACATATAATTGTCCTGTGAAAATGTTCATGCTTCCAGCAGCATTTATATTCCAATCAAAGAATTTACAGAATAAAGAAAAGGAATCTACAGTAATTTACAGTAGTTCCATACATCTTTATCTCGAATAATTTTCTAAAACATTCAAAGTACTAGACATTTTTACACTTTGAAGCTCATATCGATTTCTAAAATAATCCTAGTTCGATGTAATATAGAACGTGGTTTTAGGAGATAGATTCGAAGTTCGCAGCCATTAGCTCGATATTGTCTTCAGTTTACAGTACTTTACCGATGACAATACCGATTGCCCAGGCCTCACCACGAGGAGGTTGCTGCGAGTGGAGGCCCAAGGCAGGTAGAAGGAATCACAAGTTCTACATCTACCCACCTTTCACAATAAACCTTATAAATAACTTAAATCTTAACTAAGTAATACTATCTATTTTGTAATACTATCATTTACTACCTATTTTGTAAACAACAAGCTTTTGCTTTTTCTTTTGCGAATATCTCATTAACTATAAACAGTATTGTGGGAGCAATTTCAGATTCGGAAGGAGCAAATTGGTAGCAATTTTTTAAGATATAAATCGTTAAGATACGTAACATTATGGTTCTGATATATGCTAAGGTGGACCACGATAGGTTCTTGTCCATGCTAAAGTGGACCAGAGGTTCTTGTGTATGCTAAGATGAACCACGGGGGCAGCACTTGCCCGGGACATCGAAACCCCGGGCGTTAGCACTCATTTCCTCTCTGATTTAACCTATGTATGTATTTATATTTCTATGCCATGGTATCTGTGGGTTGTATCGCAAACAGGGTTATGTCTGTTGATACAAATTTAAACTCGTAATGCAAACATTTTTTGCACCCGTTTATTATACGTGTTAGACTTACATTATTTTCGTGGTCATAATGATTACACAAGTACTTCGCAAAGTTGTACTAGATTTTAAACATAACGGCAGTATATTTGTCAAATATTATCACTGTATTGATGTACATCTTAACAATGCCCTGTATCCGAACATGAGTACAAATGTAATTGCTAAAAATAAAGTGTTGGTTGGTTATTTTTTAACTAAACAATATGCCTCAAAAAAATGTGAAATTCCTGTATATCAAAAAATGCACACATCTCTATTTAATGCACCTTTATATCATGAAAATTATATACTGTTACCCAACATAAATTCTATCAATTATTACCCTACTCAGGTAAATAGTATTAGATGGTATAGCAATGCAACACCTGTAGTGTTAAATGGAGCTAATCAATATTATGGCAATGGTATCCTCAAAAGTATATCTGAGAGTTTACCTGTTGAATGTACGATGGATGCATTCAAAATGTTACATTCTAGTACGCAGTTACCATGGTGGGCAACAATTATTCTTGCAACAATCATTAGTAGGACACTTGTATCACTGCCATTGACTATATTTCATGTAAAGTATCTTATTTCTTTACTGAAATGATTTATGTCCGTATCAATTGTATGTTTCATATATGATTTTTACTTTAGTCACAAATTAAAGCCAAAATAGAAAATCTACAACCAGAAATCGTCAAAATAATGAAAAAATTAAATATGGAGACAAGAATGGCATGTGAACGGTTTGGGTGGAGTGGGTCGTATGCAGCCAAATCTTATAAAATTTCTGTAAGTTCCTACCTTCCCTTAACTTTTTCTGTCAGTTACATGAAAACATATTTTATAATGTACTTGCTTGCTTGATTTGGCATGGATTATACATTAAGTCTCTATTCTTTGTAACAGTTGAAAAGGGAAATGTCAGACCTATTTAATAGAAAGAACTGTCATCCTGGAAAAATTTATGTGTCAACTATACTACAAATTCCTTTATGGGTTAGTTTTTCAGTTGCCTTAAGGAATTTTTGTAACATGTTACCCAACAGAGATGCTGGTATGTATGTATAATTTTGGTTAGTTATATTTAAAAGTTAGAATAAATAACATTTTAAGTAAATAAAATGCTTTTTACTAGTTGCATTTCAAGATTATCTTGAATTTGCCAATGGTGGTTTTGGATGGATAAAGAATCTTACAGATGTAGATCATTTGTTCATATTACCAATATTTTTTGGACTTTCTGGTTTGGCTACATTAGAGGTATGTATGTAAGCACTTATACTGTTTGTGTACATGCCAGTATATTATGATTTACTTTTCAGATACAGACAATGCTCAGTTACAAAAAAGAAGCAAAGTACCACAGGTACTTACTAGCATTTTATAGAGCTGTAACTATTTGTTTAGTACCTATCATAGCATATGTACCATCAGTAAGTTACAAAAGCTTTTTAAAGTAATTAATGTAATGTCTTTCTTCTCTGTCTCATTAGTTTGTACAATAACGTTTGTAAAATAAATATTTTAGGGTTTGGGCTTGTTCTGGACTGTCAGTAATTTTTACACAATATTTCAAATAATGCTGGTACAATCTCCAAAGTTCCGTAGACTAGTAAGAATACCTAAGACAGAGTCTGAGTTGCAACATCCATATACAGAACTGTATAAGAAAGTAAAACACAAATTACACTTACAATAAAATGCAACCAAGTGAAAACAAGATTAATCTGAATTTGTAATAAATGTCCCATTTCCGATATACATACTTGGGTACCTTAACACATTCAGTAAACGAATAGAAGTCACAAAGCATCGAAGTATTTATATCTAAATGTGTTAAGTTCATTGAAAACTGTTTCTCGCGTAAATAGAATCGAGATATTATCCGTGACTTTGATCTCGTGCGCTTCGTAGAACTAGGGTCGTGGAAAAAGGTCACCTTACACAAGCCACCAATGATGAAAATAGGAATGAAGTCAGTGAAAAAATGTTTATTTCTTGATAGCATATTAAGTCATATCCTTGTTTATACTTAGAAGCTTCGTATATAAAATCTATTTCTTCCGTAAAGAACGAATTTGCAAACGAAACAACAGTCAGTATGAAGCTCTGTGGAATTTTGTTATGTGTGATTTTGTGCATCACAGCTCTCTTCTGTGGATCAGCACACGTAAGTAATTTCCTGTGCTTATTATCATGTAAATAGAATTAATGTGTTAATCTGAAAGTGTATTTTACAGCACTTGTAATAGAAAAAAATGTATTTGTTAGTATAAAAGTATCACCTATTTTTATAATCAATACCACATGTTCAATCAATCTGATACTTATTGGTACCTGTGTGACTCGAAGGCATTTATATATTTATGTAACATAAGTATTATGATTTAATTATTTCAGGGAAACGTTTACCCCTACCCAGGTGATTGCTCAAAATACCAACAGTGCGACAACAGTGGGTGCTTCGTTTTATCATGTGGAAGAGGAACAGAATTTAATCCAAATATCAGAACATGCGATTATCCTTTGCAAGGTCGTACGGATTGTACGAATCGTGGTTAAAATGGGCAATTACATGTGTCAACTTTTCTGGAATTATAAATCAATAGTGAACGAGGAACGTACTCCTTCAGAGAAGAGGTTTACAAGGAAAAGAATGAAAAAGTGAATTAAAGCTATAATGTTCTCCCTGCTATCATTATTGACGAAATGGAGTAATAAATAAAATTTACATTATACTTGATTGATCAGTGTTTGCATTATCATTATTATTCGATTAAATACTATGGATTCGCGACATTATGATTATTAATACTATGGTTGGGGATAAAACTTTCTGCATAAACGAACATGAGTTTCGATAGATATATAAAATGCATACTGCATTACATACACAATGATATTGAGATTTAATATTGTACCTTACTAATATAAGATACTTTAACAATGACGCCATATTTTCGAGTTATATTTCATTTTCAAATATTATGTAATTACGTATACATTTACGAGCGATTAATACCCTGATAACCCAGTTGTGTACAAGTTTCGAGCAAATTGCCAACAAATAATGACAAAAGTTTGATAAAAAACGATAGCCAATTGGCAGCAAGACTTGCAACATAACCTGGGTCAAATTGGGGGCAAAAACGGAACAGAGTCTGCGCAAGCCAATTTGCTGCATATATTGCTGCCCACGTGCTGCCTATGTTGCTGCCAATGTGCGCGCAAGTTGTTTATAGCAAATCTTGCAGCAAACTTGTAGCTATAACTTTATAACAGGCATTGGATGAAATGTGGCTTTGCAGGTTTAGCTGATTTGGTGCTACAGGAAAAAGGAGTGTCTCATAATAAGAAGATTGCAAGTTAACAAAAACAGGATCTGAAAGGACCTTCCTTGGAAATTGATCGAGTTGCACTTGGGTCAAAGAGCTTTATTAAATTCGTTAAAATTGGTTGTAGTTGATAAGAATATAAGGACTTGGCTAGGAATTTTTGCAAAATTCTGCACGAAGTACACTTGGAATATGTTACAATAAATTCTTAATACATAAATATATTGAAATGAGTATAAATGATTTATATTTTGATGAAAGAAAACAAGGATTTTGTGGAAAAAAATATTTCCGGTACCGGGAATCGAACCCGAGCCTCCTGGGTGAAAGCCAGGTATCCTAGCCACTAGACCATACCGGATTTACATTACTTTATTTAATTTTTTGTTCATTTAAAGTTAAAGACACTTCTATGTCGAAGTATTTAAATATTTTTATTCATTACAGACTAGTACATTTTATTTAATAAATCGTTAGCTATATTTCATTTTTGTGTCCAAACATGTTACATGATATTTCTTCGCAATCGCATTGAATTATACAGGGTCATAAGAAAAAGGTCCGATACTTATAGACCTTATACATATATAGTATTCACCGAGAGGAGTAAAAAATGTCTAATCAACGTAGGTCCTAAAAGCAATCCTTTCTCTGTAAAATCATCGAAAATGCGTGGGATACAGTACGTGGTACAGAAGGAATATTTGAAAATCTACGTTGATCTAGAGATGGGCAAATTCATTATTTAGATAAAGAGTTTGGAATGACGACTAAAAGATAAGAAAGCACTTCATCATTTTCAATTGTTTAAATGTGGAAATTACAATTTTAATAATAAAATAATACTTGAATGAATCGACATTTGGGAAACAATTATTATTTAATTTCATTAACTGTTTAAAGCTCAGAATGATGCCCTTAGAGTCTGTTGCTTTACACTATGTATTACTCGAATAAAATATGAAGAATCAAATATGAATAATTATTTGTACTAACAGTAATAAATAAAAAAAGTTAGTTTTACAGGGAAAAGATTGCTTTTAGGACCAACGTCGACATTTCTTACTCCTCTCGGTGAATACTATAAGGCCTACAAGTATCGGACCTTTCTTTTTATCACCCTATATAATCTAACAATAAATGTGCATGTGAGATAAAATTATGTTACACGCTCAGAAATATGGAAACTTTTTGTGTTTAGGAATGTTATATAATAATTAAAAAATTTTTCATTGTTGTTTCAAGAAGAAGAAACAAATTGTTTGATGTGATAGCTACATTTGTTGTATTTTGATATTTTTACGAAACACAGATAAAGCAGATCGTAGGAAAAATATTGCGAGTAAGAAGTAAGTATGTAATTAAATATTATTAGAACGGTGCAATGGAAGTTTTGATAAACGTGTGTCGGCATTGAATAGTTTGGTAGATACATCATAACGTATTACTGCATTATAATTAAGATTACGATAATTCTGCGGAAGGAAAGGAGGAACAGATATAAAGGAATTAAATGATAATGGGGTGATTGATCGGCGCAAAATATCTTTTAAGTAATCTGATTTGAATAGTTGCAACATTCTTTTCTGGAATTTGTGTCTCTAAAAATGATGACATTTTATGTGCGGTATTCTAGAAATACACGCGAAGCATTTAATAAGAATTATTCATTTATTGCATAAATATCATTAATAGTAAACATACGATACATACTTATAATATAAAAATCTCATGTGAACATTTATATGACCACACACTGCATTAATAAATATCGTTTCAAATGCAGGGCACTGGTGTACAGTTGTACCACATGGTAACAGTAATCGGCTTTTAAAATTTCCATGTTTGCTCCAGAGAAACAATTTCAAAGATAAAGTTCACACTTATCATAAAATCTCAATACAGAATATCTATTGATTTCAAATATTCTTGTTCAGATAATAATATCTTGCGAATAAATTGGGTATATAAAGGCTATTTCTTCAGCTAAAGTATCATCAGAATTCGAAACGTGAATCTGAAAAATAATAACCTGCCACGATGAATTTCTACGCAATGGTCTTGTGTGCGATCCTTTGCATCGCTTCTCTCTTCTGTGGTTCTGCATTCGTAAGTGTTTTTACATTGCATACTATTTGACATTGTCCACTTTCATTTATATTGTCTTTCTGGAAAGAATGTACTGCTGCAATACTAAATTTAATTAATAGTACAGAAAATTCGTTAAACGTGTTTCACGTTGGTATTCTTTGTTTCCGTGTAACAGAGAAATTTTCAATTCCGGATGCAAAGTAAAATCTATGCGAAATCGTGTTTTTAACCGGAAATGTACTATGCAGCAGTTGTTTGAACATTTTTCCCTTGTTTCATTATGTATTACCAATTACAGGGAGATCTCCGTATTGATCCAGACGATTGCCGTAACTTCTGGAACTGTGGGGCCGGTAAATGCGTTCGTCAGCAATGTGGTCCAGGAACTGAATTTTGGCCACCTACCCAGGTTTGCGATTACCCCATGATTACCAGGAATGATTGCAAACGGCACTGATGCAATTATCATCCGACTCAAGCACGAGAAATTATCGACGAATTGGTATCCCATTTTCCGGCGAAGAGCATGACACAGCGAATTATACATTTATACGTTCTATTGTTATATTTATCATTCAATAAAATCCGTTTTATGCATTAATAAGATTCTACATTAATTCGGTAATTAACCTTTCGCATAAAATTTCGTATCCTCACTTCAATAAATTTTTGTATATTGTCGACGTGGTGATAGTTTTAATTAAAAAATAACTGTGGACTGTAGAATAAGGTGTTATGACACTTCGTTTTCGAAAGAATTGTTCTTAAACGTGTGACTGAGTGAAATTTATATCAAAATTTTATAGTGGACCAATCGAGGCCAACTAAATTGAAGAAGACTTTACGACACCGAATCAATTAGGTAAATTTGTGCTGATTATTGTTATATTATACTATTACTCCGTAGAAATCATTTTAGGTGTTAATAATATAATCGTGCACATATATAGAATATGTGTTCGACTATTCCCACTTAGGATATTTCTGAATCTACTGCTTTCCTCCATTACAAGTTCCGCGAGAACTATGCATTTGATGCAGAAATATCGCCAACACGAAATATAGAATGCATATTTACAATATGTACAAAATTCATGTAAACATCTATGCAAACTCGAAATGTATAAATAAGAATCAAAACTGATATAATTGCAGATCACTGGAATACTGTGTGTTAATATCTGCTTCCTGTATTCACAAATTTTTGCTACCAATTCGACATGTATGTCAACGATATAATTCATTCTAACGATAAGATTAAAATACATATAGAAT